TGTGGGAAGGGGAGAGTCAGTGTAGATTCCTACCCTGTAGATTCTTCTGTTCCTATCTAATGCTAAGAGAAAGCAGACCCGCTTACAGCACAGTGTTTGTGCAGGGCACCCTTAACGAGTTGGCACCACTATTGTGTAATCAGCTACCCACTGACTTGTCCCCAGCGCAGGGATAAAGTAGGCTAAACAAACATGTAAAATCCTGTCCTAATAGTATCTGTGTGAGTCCAAATACTGTGCTGGTGGTTTGAGGCTGTCTGAACTGGAACTGTCAAGTCTGTGTGTCACGTCAAAAAGTAAACAAACCACAGACAAATAAATCTTCCCTCATCCATTTTGGGTTGACGATAGAGGGCATGAATAGCTGACACTGGTGTAAAATATGTAGACAGCATGTCTGTCAGAGCCTGGAGAAGAGAGCAACGCGCGTCATCCTGTCACTCCATGATGCCTGCGCCTGTTTAAGACCGCCTCATTGATTATAATGGGAGCATTCTGGTATTGTCACTGAAGCACACCCACTGTTCTTGCTGTTAGAACATGAGGTTATTTGGGGAGTCTTTTAATTGTTATAGCACTGAGAGGCGAGTCCGTTTTATTATTAAAACAGCTAACCTCGCAACAGTTTAAAAAGTTTGACAGCAAAAGGGCCTGCTAGTGAATACATGCCACAACATGCGTCTTTGTAATTCATATAAGAAAAGATCCCAGCAGTCCATCTAAGATGTAATATTGCAAAATGAAACAGTACATTATATTTACACTGTGTGTGTTAGATGAAAAGCCTAATTGGTGGCCAGGCCATGTCCAGTTTGACAGATTGGTGTAGGACTCAAGTGGGGGATTCTGGGCATGCGTACTGTGCTGCTGCAGATCACAGCTGATCCAAGAAGCCCACGCACTGAGCTGTGTTCTGTTATATGGCCTTGTGTAGCCAAGGAATCACATATACCTGACTGTATAAGCAGGAAAACAGGAATAGTGGCTAAGTATTAGATATGGCTGGGGTGCAGGGCAAACCTATTTACAGCAACATCATAAAAACAGATCCCCTGAAATGATGAATCAGCAGTCCACCTGACCTTCGTACAAACCTGGTACAAACTAAGTGATTTGATATTTTACCCTATGGCACCATCTACTGGCCATAAGAAAGAAGTGCCATTTAAACAGACACAAAGCTGTGTTCTACCAGAAATTAATGTGAAGAGGCCAAAAGTACCTTGTTGCTTGGCTCCAACTTCAGTGCCTTCCTCAAAGTTTGAATGGCTTCTGTGTATTCACCTTGCAAGGCTAGTACCTTGAGTGAAAAAACATACGTTTAATAGCACAATCTATCACAGACTAACAGAGAAATTGAAAGAACACGAGCCACGTATACCTTGCCCATGCGGAAAAGTGCTTTTATGTTGTCTGGCTGGTGAGCCAGTGCTGAAACGCAGGATTTAAGTGCGGCATCGTAGTGGTCCAGTTTAAGCTGAGAAGCAGCCATGTTGTTTAAACACTTCACTTTTACATCCATCAGCTCATCCTCCTCCTCAGGACTAATGTCAACTGCAGAAAAATAAAACAACAAAGTTTACAACCAATAAAAAAGGTAACAAGAACAGAATCTTAAAATAAAATAATTATAACATCCATCAGTGCATCATTAAAATAATCACCATCACAAGGCAGGCCACAAGTGAGATTTTTTCAACCATGCAAGACATGTCGGGGAGAAGGCCCCTCTTGCTTTGGTAGTTCATCTTAAACTGTGCCATGCTACCCTACCCGTTAGGTACCCCGTAAACCCAATGCTACTGAATGAAAACCACCACTGTTCGTTTTGACTCTCTGACCTGCAACTCACCTTTAGAACTAGACTCTGCTATCTGCAGAGCTATGCTGTATGAGTTAACAGCGAAAGCGTAGTCCCCACGCTGATAATGAACGTTGCCTCGCTCTCTCTTATGGCTGGCCAGGGCAATCTTTTCTGCAGGGGGCAGCAGTTCCACGTCTGGGGCATCCGTAGCTTCCAGCAGTTCCACTTCTAGTGACAGCCCAGCATTGGGGGGAACCTCAGGTTCAAGACTGGAAATATGAAGAAAAAAAAATACACAGTCCAGTAAAGGAGTTCAGGAAATAACTAGATTACACAAGTAATACCCCAATGAAAGTGTGCATGACAGAAGGGTTTAGAACATCCAAGAAGCCAAGAACAAGTAAAGCTATGCAGTTTTGTTCCAATTAAAGACTGAGTTTATATCTGTTTATGAATTAACTGTAAAAAAAATTTAAAAGTTTAAAATTGCAGCTGTTCTATGATTGTAATATTTTTGTTTACATGAAAACTGCACCTTTAGCAGTTACATTAAAACATTGTCCTTACCTCCCCCGGGCACCATATGCATATTTTGCACCAGTCTGGATGAGGGCCTTCTCTCCCATTTCCATGAGCTGGACTGTGAGATCCAGAGCCTGAAAGCAAACAATCTCATTGCAGTAAGATACCAATATGTACGACGTAACACTAACTACTGCTGTTAGTAGCACAAACCAAGTCATGCATAACTTAAAATAATCTCTACACAGTCTTTCCCATTTGAGAAGTGTCTCAAATCGTTACCTGGAAGACATCCCCATCTCCAAGAGTGAAAGAGAGGTTGGGCTGCTCTTCTACAAGCGTCCCGTCCTTCGTGTATGTTTTAAGATTAATCTTTACATTCTGTCCTTTCTGTGGCCGACTGTCCCGCCCTTGCCCTGCTTCCAGAACTTTTTTCTTCAGTTGGTCATTACCTGGAGACAAAGAGAGAAATTCAGTCAATGACTGTGGAGCAACCACAAATCAGAAAGCTTGCTCAAGGGTATCACAACACCTTGGAGTGTGTGTGGATTTGATCAGAGCACCTTCCTAATAATAATAATAAATAAATAAATAAATAATATTAACTTATAAAGCTACTGCTACACCCTCTACAGGAATGCATTGTGCTCCAGTCTGACAAGTCACCAGGGTGCTTTTGTTACATACCTAATACATCCAGCCATTCTTCCACTGGACCTACAAGGTCTGGATCTGTGTCTGCAATTTTCTTTTCAGACTCATCTGTGTTTTTCCCCTTCCCACCTCCGGCATCTTCCAGAGGAGGGGGTTCGTCGTCAATGTCTTCTTCATCTAAAACCTCAAAGTCCTCCCCACTGTCCAGCAATGAGGTCCGTCCATTCTTCTTTCCTGATGGTGCACTGTAACGGCTATCAGGGGCGTCCATAGTCTTCTGTTTTTCAGTCATTAGTACTCTGGGAAAGAAGGTGTACAACTTTAATAATGCAACCCTATAACCTTCTTTAACCGTTTATCCCAAAGAAGGAGTCAAAATTAAAATCTAAATCACTGTCATATATCACATCAGTGACCTTATAACCTCTACAATAAACACGGCTCCCATCCAAAACCACCCAGGACCGAGCTACGACAGGATATTAAAACATTAGCCAAGATAGCCACAACTTTCCAGAAGGAGGGAGGTCTGAGGCTCTGCAGTTTGCACCCTTCTGGAAGTTTCGGCACAAGTTGTCCTGCTATGGAAAGCGGATTGTTTGACGCACGTGTTTACACATCCATTTCTAACGCCTTAAGACGTTTGGATCATGCTATTGGTTAGCGTAAACATGTCCACATTCCCGCATCCACTTTCAAGCGGCTGGCAGGCTACTGCTAACAGACGTTAGCCTTTAGCAGACTAGCATGTTAGCAGTTAGCTGTAATCTCGTTGGGTATCTAGGCCAGCTAGCTAATGTTTGAGAACATAAAATGGCTGATTTTACCTTGTCTTTCAACGAACCGCTGCTTATATCAACTCCCGAGAGAGTGAGTCAGTCAGAGTGTCATATGTGATAAACCCATTTATCAAAATAAACGGAACCTTACCATCTAACAGTACCTATGCAGATGCTTGTTTTGGTCCTGGGCAATCTCCTCTCCACTGTACAGTGTTGAAGTTAGTTTTCTGTTGGGGAACGGCAGCCCGGTTCGACCAGAATGTGTTGCTGATTGTACAACATCAAACTGACTTCGTCGCGGTCTCCAGCTCATCCCAACAAGCTGCTTCCGGTTAACCTTGAGCTCCTGTGCGTCTATTGGACCTTTTCCTGCATATTAATGTTTGACCTCATAGGCATCCCCGAGGACAGCACTTTTAATATCGAAAAGTTAGTCCACCTGTATTCTGTCATCTTCTTGCTAAAGAAGGTAAGTAGCCTGCATAAACTGTTATTTGCATGATTATGACTTTATCTGCTGAAGATTCATTGGGGTAAATGCTTCAGAAATAGTACCAATATATAACTGTATCTTGCCTAAGGTAATTTAGAAGCACCTATAGGTAGAAACAGCCAAATGAAAAGCATTCACCTGATATTATCTCCCAAAAAGTGCATTATTGCCAATTATTTAGTTCCTGAATGTACACAGCAGGATTTATAGTTAATGCTAGGAGCTGTGATAAGACTAGATCGTGAAGTGTGGTTTTAACCCACACCAAAACCGGTAAAACCAGTTGCAAACATTAAAAATGTATATTTTTGAAATGTTTCATAGCCTATATGGACTTTGAATGTTTGTGCACAGGAAGGGTGAAAAACCAATGCTTATGATAGAGCAGTATTAACTTAAAACAGGGCACTAATCCTTTTTAACCATTTAGGTGCAGGAAGGCTTTAAAGTTATCCCTTACCCTCCACGTCTTTACCAGAACCTGTCATTTAAATATCATGCAGGTATATGACATACCAAGTTATCAATTTTGAAAATAATGCGTCCATTGGAAAGTAGTTATGTCAGAAATTGACTTGATTTAGAAAAAAGGCATACACACACACACACACACACACACTATATGTGTGTGTGTATATATATATGTATATATATATGTGTGTGTGTATAAGTTATCTTTGTGTACTGCATAAGATTGGGGTTGAAAGTTAAACGAGAGCTCACAGGAAGAGATTCAAACAACAAGGAAAAATCAAATGACATTTATTATTGATGCATTGTTTCTTTTTAGATAAGCAAATTATCTGTTTTTCTTTCAGTCTAAAGAAACTTTACAATATAAAGAAACATACAAAGAACATCTTTATTACCTACACAAGACACCTAAGTCCCTAAGACAAGTTTCTTAACTACCCTACCATGTAAATACAAAGCAAACCCAAGAGACAGACTGCTTCATATTGAATACTGCCGTGTCATCAGAAAGGACCATGAACGGTACAGGAGAATCATTCATATCCCCTCCCTTTAATCCCCATCCCTCTCCACATACCCACCCCACCTGACCAGCAAATCTTCCTAATGGTACAGTATTATACATCACAATAGAAGTACAGCGATGGCCAACAATCGATATACACAGAGGACTGAGAGAGGATCAGTGAGAGAGCTTCAGTCTATACAACGCTATAACAGGAGCGCATAGCAAAGGACACAGTTAATGTTTGATCTATTCTTAATTTAAAATGAGGTTTTCTTAAGTATTTTTACCTTTTTAAAAGTTTTCATGAATTGATAAAAATCCTTCATATTAAAAACTGCAATAAGAGGTCACGTGAGAAGATGCCCTTTGAAAAAAGTATTCAAATGATTATTCAAAGCCAATAGTAACATTTAACTGAAACATAAGGAGACAAGGGCAGAGCGAGGACGCCACAGCTTGTTTGCTTCTCTCTGTCCTGTCCTCTCTCTGTCCTATCCTCCCAACCATACAAGCATACAGTCTGCATTTATTGTGTTACTGTATTCTATACATTTTAATGGAAATTTAGCCACATGAGCCAAATAGTCAGCGCATCCATTCTCTATGAAAAACATGGACAGTTTTATTTATAATTTACTTTCAGCTGTATTCATTGGTAGTGACTGACATATCAAAACATGTCAATGATATCAAAATGCATTATACAGTATTTACAAAAAAGGAAATTAAAGAGGGGTAGGGGTGGAGGTGGGAGTGGGGGTGAGGGATGGGATTTGGAGGAAAGAAGGGAGGTGTGTGTCAGTACACTGAAGGAACACTGGGAAGAGTGTTTCCCAGGCCACCGATAGCCAATTGCTGGAGATGTCCCTGTTCTCTGGGTACAATCTGTTCACATTGATATCAGAAAATTGTTAAGTACATCACCGTCACCCATAGAGGCTACAATGGTTGTTTAGTTATTGTTGGTCTGAACACAGCCAGGACGTAAGTGCTGCAGTGTGATGCCATAAGAAATCACTTATCCCTTTGAAACAGTGACAGAGAGCTGATCAGGCCAAGAGTACATAACATACAGAAAGAAACAAAGTAAATAGCGAGATATGTATCTATGCTTTTCTTTGTGTGCAGATTCTATGGGCTTTTTTTTCAGTTGATTATATTTAAAATAAAAACAATCTGCTGAAAACAATCCACAAAAAAAAAAAAAGGAAATAGATCCATTTAAAAAGTCTCCCATTATTGTTCCTCTTCTTTAGACCCATGTGGCTGTACAGTCTGTTAACCCCAAGGTGCATCACTCTGCTCCCATCACTCACGCTGCTACAGCTTCCCAAATCTCTGGATCCATTATCCTGTAAATACGGGACTTGCTGAGGGAACCTGTCGATGGGAGCTCCAAGGAGACGGTTATTTTAGCCCATCTTGTCTGGGTTAAGAAAGTGGATTGTGAAGGATCTGTGAGTTCAACCCAAACTCACAGCGAGAAAGCGGGCCTCACAAGTGAATCTGAGGTCCCACAGTATCTCCTAGTCCAAAAGGAGACATTGACGAGAGACCAGAATGAATCCTGGGATGAAAACAGTGCCACTTGGGAGTCCACAGTGAGGTTGAAATCAAACAAAGTGATGAAGGGGAAGGAACCACATTTCAGGATTCACAGACAGCTTGTAAATAACAGATAATAAAACAACCACAATACAAGCTAAATATGTTGTATTTACAGACAAGACCAAATTCATAGAAGAGATGTTCTCTCGCTCGGTCTATTACTGAATAAGAACTGGCACCTGTCCTGACAATCATCTCAGGATTTCATCTGAGCCGTTCCCGCGCAGTATAAACCTAGAAAACTGTGAGAAGGGATGCTTATTAAGACAAGATACGATCATTCAGACACTTTGTACCAGAAAGCCTCTGTTTTAACTGTATGGATAGTTTTAGACACTAACACCTCAGTTCAAACTACTTCATTCGGTAAAGACAATCAATTATTCCGATCACACTTACTTTGAAGGTTTATGTAAATGATGCTACAAACATTTAGAAGGCAATGACTCAAGCTACAAGTTCAGAGGAAGTTTAAAGGAGAGGTATGTGAAGTGAGACTGACAAACAAAAACAAACATCAAATAAGCTAAAATCATGTAAACAGAAAATCATTGTGCATTTTTCCAAGTGTGTGCTTATTCTGTCATTGTTGATGCTGCTGCTGAGATAAAATGTGCCCTTTACAGGAAATCATTAGTAGAATAATATCAATTATGAAAATTATAACAATAATATCACCATCAACAACAAAAAAATACAAACATTTAATGAAACCATTCTTGCCTAAAATAACATTATCAGTTCATCTTTTTTTGTCTTTTCTTTTTTTAAATCATTCTCCCACAGTAGCAGAGTTTCTGAATGAGAGTTTTCAGCCCCTGTCAGTCAACAACTGCATGCCCACATAAGTTATGATCAGCATGATATAATGGAGTGGTGGTTGATGCAGAGGGGCATCTTGATTGGACTTGAATGCCACCCATGAGGGCAGGTTTTGGGTTTGGGGGAGACAGGCTTGGAGCAGTTTCTGGCTCTTACTGTCCTAGGGCCCATGTTCAGGCCCGGCAGGCGAGGAGAAGTGAAGAAGAGACTCTTCCTGTTGCTTGGAGGCCTTTTCATGTTCTTACACCCATTTTACAGGCGTTGAGGGGAGTCCTGCTTTCCAGGGGCATCCCCAGGGGCTGTGTGGCACAGCACACCGTCCACGAGGAGGAGGAGGTAGGAAGGGAGGAGGGTAATGCAAGACGCACCAGGGTGGATGGGACAGGGAGTTGGGATAAGGGAAGATGAAAAAGAAATAAAATAAAATAAAAGATAAAATAAAATAAAAAAATCACACACTCATCGTCATGTTGGGTGAATACTGTAAAGAGAGAAAAGGGGGGGGGGGGGAGATAAGCCAAAACTATATTAAACTTCTTACACTACCCAGTTCAAGATGAAAGCAAAACAACTAACTAAACTAAATGCCATGTACACCGGCCTTTTGCAGCATACATTACACATGACAGTTAACTCTTGGTAATTGACTTTCTATGTCAGTAAACCAGCAGCAAGCAAAGCAGAGTCCAGCCCAAGGAGAAAATGTTAAGGGATTTCAGATCACAGTGAAGATACTGTACATTAACCACTATATGACAATCTCTCCATGCTTTAGAGAAAGCATATTATGTGGTGCTTTTCCATGCACGCATTTGTGCATGCTATGTTTGTGTGTGTGGGGTAAAGCTGGGGAAACTGGGCACAATATTTGGGACAATATAAAGGACCAGTTATCAGCTCAATTTAGCCCGAGCACTGGTTTCAAGGTCATGGAGATTTTTTGGTAGTGTATGCTAAACGAAGCAGGAGCTGGTCTCGTCTGTATGTCTTAATTTAGTTGTTTGATTAGTCTAATGCAAGCTAGATAGTTTCTCAAAAATAAAGGCTGGCTTACTGTAAAACTTCAATTAATTGCCCAGGCTTTTATTTGCTTCAATCACCAACCTCAACCTGCCTACATTTGGGACAGACATCTATATGGGACAGGCCTTTCATGCCTTTCGCACAAAACTCTCGCTCAGCAAAGATGGGAAATCGGCTACGATCAAATTGTTTATTTTAACCAGTTTCAATATCACTGGTATAACAATTTGGCTTTTTATATATCTCTTGTTTACCATGCCAGTAAATCTGAACTGTTTCTGTAAAACAAACTAAACGGTTGAATTGTGGAGAATCTAACCGATCTAACGATGTGTAGCATGTCCATATTGACAAATTGTTTAAACATTGATATTGGTATTGATTTTATATAGTCTTCTAGTTTGTTCCCAGCTTAATAGGTATGTTGGCTCCTTTGTTACTTACACTTTCACTTTGGAATGGGTTTAAAAAGTTGCCTGCCATCTCGCCGTCATCCCGCGGAGTGCCGGGAGGATTGTTCATGCCTGCCATGTTGTTGGGAGAATTCTTCAACACAGATGAAAAGAACCAATAAGAATACATAACTCCTCACTGACAAACAAAGAGACACACAGATAGATAGACAGACAGTCTGTCAGTCTTACCTTTGGCAACCCATCCATGTCACCAGAGCCTGTGATCAGAAATGGAAAAAGGAGAAACCGTTATAATCATGAGGTGACTGCTAACTGATCCATAGCGTCCTGCCGCTAATTCAACATCAGTTCAGGATTTCCAGTGCAAGTAGAAACAGCCTGCCCTCTCACATGTAATGACCTTTAATGAAGCTATTTGTTTCAGATACAGATGAGCACCAACTCAGTGATCATGTCTAACTCATCTACAGGATCAATTGACCTACTCACTGCCCCACTAATCCGTTTTTAGCTTTGTTTAATACCAGGCGGAGGGTAAACACTTCCTCTACAAGCCATGAGAGGGCAGAGTCCTACTTCTGAATGCCTTGGTTCATAGAAAGTAACAGGTTTCACTCAATACAATCAGGAGCTGAGCAATCACTCTTTGGCTACTCACCTAGTGATCCGTTCATATGATGCTGCTCCATAGCACCCATTCCACCCATGGGTCCATCGGGACCCGGTCCCATTGGGAACTAAAGAAAAATAGCAGTAAAATGTCATTCATCTTGCTCTCTACATGCTTGGGTTAGCCTGGCAGAGTATGCAGAAAAATAAGAAATAAATCTTGGGTGAAATGATGAAACAATAAAGCTATTTATTGTGATTCAAAATTGAACCAACTGACATTACTTACATTAGGTCTATTTCCACCAGGGCCAATGGGGTTCATCATTGTGTAGATGTTTTCACTTGAGTTTGTTGAATCTATGAATAAAGAGCAGATGGATGTTTAAATTCAGAATACTGTAAAACACTTCCTCCTAGACTCACAAATACTTGTGGGTAAGCCCTAATACTGTTACCTCTGCCTATTTTCATAACCAATATCCAGTTGATCTTGAAAATGTCCAAAGATAACGGGGATTTGGAGTATGGAATGGGGTAATGAATGGAAAATAACAAGCTAGGCTGCACAGAAATGTCTGGATTTGCACCGTCTTTCACTGTATTTGACATCGCTTCACTTTAATTTTGCCATTTGTACAATACATTTACTTACAGCCCAGACATTTTCTTATTCCTGCAGTACAGGACAAAAGACTACCTGTATGTTAACTTTAAGTGCCAATACATAATGTCAGTAAATCTGTCTGTCAATCAATTCACAAGCCGCTCTCCGCAATGTGCAATAAAAGAAACCCATTATCTCTTATTCCTACAATCAAGAGATTTGACCATGTTTTTATATGGACACCTTGGCAACTTAGCAACAACCGGTACATGCTGTCCTCATGTGTCTGTCTGTCCTGAAAAGATTCAGAAGGATGAGGTGACCTTGATCTGACATTGCAGGCAGAAAGTTGTGAGTTTTAGACTAAGAAGAGCAGGAAAAAAACAACAATAATAATTAAAAGACAGGGGAGGAGATGGATACATCATATGTGCAAAGTGGTGGAGAGATCTTGCCTGTTAGTGTCCCTGAATCTAGCTTGTGTTGTCGTGACTGGAAGAGGGGGGGCAATACCGAGTGGGAGGTGTGCATTTTTTTTTGTGTGTGTGTGTGTGTGCGTGCGTGCGTGCGTGCGTGCATACAGTCTTGGCGACTGCAGTGGAAATATACTTTTCCTCCCGGTGTACGTGTGAGCAGGAGTGTTTTGTGCAAAAGGTTGCCCCGGCAACGTATCACAATAGAGGTACGTATATAAATAATAAATAGTGGCCACAAAAAGAAGCTCTCCACAGGCCAGCAGAAACAGAACATCTACAGGATACCAGCAGAGACACTAGATTGACGGACCAAAGCTGAGATGGATCATTTGATTGCAGCCTGACATGTCTAGGCTTCCCTTTTACACAACTGTCTCCACAATGAGAAAACACAACTAACAACACTAGAATATTTTCCTGAATGTGCCAAAAATGGAAAATGCTCACAACAAATGTGATACCCAACAAAAATCCCACCAATACCAAATTAGCCTCAATACAATATTTCAACATTTTCAATGTTTTACATGCAAAATTATGAAGTATTTACAATCCTATCACTCTCTCCCAATGAGAGATGTGTATCTGACAGAGAACAGATATGATGTTCGAAGACAGAGCCCTTGTTCAGTGAACACTGGATAAAAGCAGAAATCAGAAGGGAAACTAAAGTGTATAACTCACCTCCGGGGCTAGGCATGATAGGAGTTCCTGGTGGGCCGCCTCCCCCTGGAGGGCCCTGGGGGGGTGAAGAAGCGAGTGAAAAAGAGAAATGAGCACTGAGTGCATCTAGATGGCAGCGCGCCTTTTAGATATCACTGCATGACAGGTAATTTATGGCCCGTGGTCGAACACGAGTCCATGACGGGACACTTACCACATAGTTGCCTGGAGATGAAGATGAATAAGCTATCTGCGGAGAGAGAATAGACCCGGGGTGAAACAAAACATGAGACACAGTTATTGTAAACACAATCAGTCATGTAGGAGATAAAGATGTAAGAGAATGTGACTTACTGAGTTGGTGTTGGGGTTCGGCCATGGACCTCTTCCACCAGGACCCCTGGGGAAGCAAACAGAGAGGAAGATTAAAATATTTAATTAAAGATTTCTAGCACACAACCATGTTTCATGCATCACAGGAGATGGTTTCTAATTAGTGATTTCTTAAACTCATAAACACAGTCTACTAGTTGATATAAACAGATAATCCAGAGGTGAATTTACATGATAAACTGTACATTTTGAGGGTGGTTGCACAGCACTATGCAGCAATCTAGAAGACACACACTCACAAACATCCTAATGCAGTAATTCTTTCTTATAAGATAATCGGTCAATAAAGAGTTTTGTCAGTAAACCAGAATAGTTTTTGCATTGTGATATAGTCTAATTTCAAAGACATGACAGTGTCAGTCAATTTATTTTCTTGGGGTTTTATTAAAAGAAAGGTAAGATTTCCAAAACCTCTTGGTGAAAGCTGAAATTTCCTTTTCTCAACTACGTTATGCTGAGATCTGGGGACAAATTAGTCCAAAAGGGCTGAAACAACAGCAGTATTTGGAGGAGAGAGCAAAAGCAAGTGCTGCAGCTATTATCCAATCGATCCCTTGTACATTTTGATTTTGCAAACCAAGTTCCATGCTCACTGTAGTGGTGCGTACACCGTGCATTTAGTTATGCAGAGTCCCACATCTCAGCAACTGACTCAGTGAGAAAAATGTTCTCATAACCACTAGAAACAACGGTAAAAACAACAAAGATAAGACTTGGGTAGTAAAAGAAAATGAATATCCCTCTACATCAGGCTTTTCCTTGGCAGCAGAATTCACAAACATTTCATTTCAATTTACTAACATGTTCATGCCCGGCATCCCTGGCCCCATGGAGTTTGGAGGAGGCCTCATCCCTCCGCCGTAGTTCTGCACAAAGAGAGGAGGGCACAGTAAGCGTGGCGTCTCACACCTGCTCTGTCTAAAGGTTTGAATCTTAATGAAGGTCAGCGACGATCATGTCTCCCACTAACTAGTGTATAATTATGTGATGTATGGGGCTGTGTGTGTGCGTGGAAGTGCACAGCTGTGTGTGAGTGTGTTTGAGTATGTCAGTATGTTGTGTGCCTCTGTGTATGTGCCTCTATGTGTCCATGCTCCCCTCTGTGTGTTTACGTGTATGTTTTCATGGCTACCCAGCAGGCGGGTTTGGCTGGCACTTGTGTATTTGTGTGTGTGAGAGTGTGTGTGAATGGGACAGATATAGACAGAGAGAGAGAGAGAGAGAGAGTAGAGGGGCAGGCCAGAGAGCAGCTCCACTCAGAGGAAGAGTTTTGTTCAGCAGACGATTACACTTGTCGAGCAGATGCCACGCCAGCTGCTGGTACGCTCACTGCCAAAGTCACCGAGCCAGGGTGGCACAGAGAGGGGCCGAGGGGCATAGGGAGAGCGTGTGTGTGTGTGTCTTTGTGTGAGGTGATGTTGGAGCGGGAGGTGGTTGGGTGCAGGATGAAGCAGCTGTCTGGTAATGGTAATTCAAAAGGACACTGTTGTTTAAGCATCTTATGTATTACACTGAATCGCATCAACAAAAATTAAAGTGATAAAAAGGAAACCAACAGAGCCACAATTGGCACCATTTTTGGTCAAAATGTGTTGGTGGTGGCTGGCGCAGAGCAGCCTGAGTACTCCATCTCTGTTTGTCTCCCAAGGTAGGAGTCGGCAAGTAGGACTGGCGTTGGCAGTGGGTGAGCTCTGTTCGGAGCCAAGCTAATCATCAGAGCGTTTCTGACATTTAAAGGCAAAGTTACGAGGCTGGCAGAACCTAAATTTCTCATCAGCAGAGACGAAGGATGTTCTGCATGCAGTTTAAAGGCCTGGTTTGACATTATAGCTCTTTTATGGTAGCCCTTAACGAAGGGCAACCCAACATTGGGTTTGTTCATAAACTGACAGGCCAAGCACCTTCAAATCTGGCTGTGTGGCAGCTGCTGAGTGAGAGTGCAGTGGGCTGGTAGTGCTGAAGGACGCCATCCACTGTCATGACTTTATTAACACAGTCCTTTGTGTTTTATTCTATATGACTGCTTGAGCAATAAAACAGGTACCTACCTGTGGGCCCATGCCCCCCATGCCCCGAGGAGGATTCATTCTCATTGGACCTCCCATGTTTGGATGTCCTGTGGTGAAACACAGAGAGTGCAGCTTGTTAGAATGGCAGCACTATTTAGATCAATAATCATTCCATAAATGAGAAGAAAGCGTTCTCATTCAGAATCCAATATGAGATTGCGAGTGTGCGAGGAGGGGAAAGAGCAGCCCTCTCTGAAATAACACCACACCTTTGTCAATACCTTGAGGTCTGGTGGGGTCCAGGCTGTTTGGCAAGAGGGGCTGTGACCCGGGGATGCTCCCAGGAGGCTGATTTGGCATACGGAGGGAGGGCCTCGGGCCACCTGGGTACCTTGGAGACATGAATGGCTGCAGGAAGGACATGAGATGGACAATGAGTACTTTATTTCAGGATGATCACGAGCAGAATACTTGCTTTAATTCTTGACAGATGGGGCTTTAAAGTTTAAAAAATAAGTTTCCTCTTGACCTCGTTTTAATCAAGTGCAATTCCAAAACTCTAAGATAGGATTATGCACAAGTGCATTAATTGAATTTGCATGAAATCTAGCGGATAATTTATAAAGACAACCAAAATCAATGAATTCCATACCCAGAAAGGGTAACGTTATGATTTTCTCAAAAGACGGTGATTATGAAGAATTAATTAAAGGTAATCTGACAATATTTATTTATAGAAAGAAGTAAGGACATGAATAGAGATGAAATTATAAAAAAAAAAACAATGCATGAGATATAAAATATACAATCCACCCACAGCGTTCATGTCTCAGTGTATCGCTTTCTTTATCAGCTAAGCCACTGTTTTTTTTTTTTACTTCTCTCTTCTTTTAAGACACTGCTATTTGGGGGGTTTGAACTATCTAAGCGCAGATCTCTACAGAATAATAATAACACTAACATTATGGTAATAACATTCTTACAATCAGCCTAAAGTAAAGGTCTCATCCCTTTGTATATCTGTGAATATACTCCTCCAAAGCAGAAAGGTTTCCACATAAAATGGACAAGTCACAGGGTTTGATGACAGACAAACTCTTAATAAATAAGACTCCTACTTCTAGGTAGTGAAACTAGCACAAAAGGCTTAGTAAACTTGACTCTCTGTATCTAACCTGCACGGTGTTGCGCTGTTACCTTTGCAAGTCAGCAGGGGGAGCTATTGTGTTGACGAATAATATACTGTAGTAGCTTTGTTACATTTACCAAGAAAAAGGGGCCTGTCATTAAGTTTTATAAAGTAAGACCTCGGGTGGTAAAATCCATTAGGATAAAAGTAAAGGAGGACAGATAAGAGAGGAAGAGAACATGCAGGATAGAAACTTAAAGACTGGAAGAACAATATGGGAGGGAGGTGGAGCAGAACAGAACAGGAACATGACACAGTTGGATGGGAGGATGAAGTCACACAAGGAGAGGAAGTGTTCTACATGTTAATGTTTGCCTTTTTGTACAGCTGCACATTTTCTCACCGTGTCTGTATCACCAGACACCAGTGCTACAAAAATGCAGCCCTGATAGTGAGATTCATAACATAAACTGAAGACATCATCCACACAGATGTTTCAGCAGAGAGGGGACAAGAAATGGCTGGCCAAGACACACATACAGAGCCGGCGCACAACTAGTGAATAATGTAAAGCACCCCAGACAGATGGTTTTCAGAATCACCTATGAGAGTGCGCTGCTGCAACTACAAATACCCACATCCAGTGAGCCATATTTCAGTGTCAGATGATAAGAGTTAATTCTGAACTCAATCCAAGTATTTTAGTATCAAGGGGAAACATGCTGATCTGAATGCAGATTGGGTGAGAGTTGTGTGTTTTGGTCACGGAGCATGAACAGCAGAATAATGTTCATATCATCATCTTCACACAGAGATAAGCACAGACAACACAAATACAACAGGAGACTGGCTTTCAATGGTAATTATGTACTGTATGTTTTGTGTGTATGTGTGTGTGTGCTTGGGGCAAGTGGAGGACAAGTTATATAATTCCAGTTAGCCCTTGAGGCGAGGACTGACATACTACTGTTTTCTTTTTTCTCCTACTCCTTCACTTTCCTCCTCCTCTCCTCTCCCCTCCTCCTTTGACCATGTTGTGGTGGGTTTGTGCATGAAGAGCAGCACCATGTCAGGCTCTGCTGCAATATTAATGGTCTATTGATGGACTATGGGATGATGAGTGCTGGGCTGAGGAAGAGAGAAGGCCCTCCAGATGCACCTCCGCTCCTTACAGCTGGGCCAACACAGCTAAATTATTCATCCAACCCACCATCGTGGATGCTGCCTGTCCTGTTTGTTAGCACAACAGGGGACCTGTGTGCTGTTCGTACACTGTTGTGCGAGTGAGTGCATGAGTGAGTGAGCGAGAGAGTGAATGAGTGTGAGAAAGTGAGAGAAAGTAGGCTTAGAGAGGGAACTAAAACACAGCAGCTTAGGGGAGGGTGTAAATGTTTCCGTCTTACCTGTCCGTGAGGTCCCATCATGGGATTACTGGGGTTGTGTGGGGGAGGCTGCGTATGAGGGGAAGGCTGAGATCCTGGAGGACCCTGGTGAAGAAAATTTAAAAAGATATCAGTGAATTGCTACGATAATGTATTTGGTGATATTGAAAAAAATATGTTCAACAAAATCCCTTTTCATTGATTACAAGGACAATGTGATCTAACATTTCCGCTGTTTGTAATAATAATTTCCCTTTCTAGAAACAGTTTTCCGGTCACCAGTAGGAATAGAGTAGTAGTATAAGGGTAAACTGAACATTAAATTTTTTTAATATTGTGTATGTTGTAGTAGCATTTTTTCCACAGCTGATTATGACATGCACAAGAATAAAAATTATAAATTAATGATCATTCTCATGTGTTCAACATTTTAAACCAGCATTTGGAAACGTTTCTGACATTATTACTGAATCTAATGTCTGCCTGAAATGGCAGTCCTACTGAGAATCAACACCAAACTGTAATTTGTGGCTGCCTTTTCACCACTTGCAAATCTGTGCAATAAAATTGTAACAGTTTTCAGCAAGCCAAACACCATGGTAGCCCACAGCACAGACACTACAAGCACTCCGACAAGACAGTTAAGGTGCGACACCTTCCAGCATGACATGGTGGAAAGACAAAGCAAATGAGTGACTGCTTAGAGACATACAGGTAGAGCTTGTATTTTCCACAGTAGTTACTGAACCAAACCAGAGCTAAAATACCAGTAAATATTTGATTTATAAGCATCACGGCTAGAAACCCAACTCCTACGGGATGATAATGCTGCTCTTTGTGAGTCCAGTGTGTAAGGAGGTAACTGTTAGCTAAAATGTTGCCGACAACATGATAAGTTCATTTATAATGGCAAATCTCTGCTGCTGTTTGTTTCTTCCCACTAGTGGTCAAGATCACGTAGTGCAGATTTAATTGCCCTTACAGGCAGAGAGTAATTACAACATGGCCAATTTAAGTATGTATAATTACAGCACAACTATCATATCTATTCTGCTACATCAACAAGGACTGCATGAAATGAGATTTGTCACTGGCATTTGCAGAGGGCCACATTGATTTTTATGTACAGGAATTGCTAATTGCCAAGATGAGGTCAGATCACTTTACAAGGTGGACTTTAATCAACATTCAATTACAATCACAGTCTTATTTTTCTAAATTTTGCCATGACAATGTTTGATCCAGTTTGGCAGAGGCACTGCTGTCCATTACACAGTCAAGGGCCAAAGCAAGCTTCATTTTATTGCTCACTTTCAACTCTACAGAGATGTGCCAAATATTTGAACTCAATCAAACATCATTATGGCAAAACACAGAAAAATGAGTCCCAGGTCAAAAATAATATAAATTATTCTGTCTCTTAAATCCACTCTGTATTGATGACTCAGACACTGGTATGTGAACTGCAGTTTCAGTTTGCATTTCGACAGTGAATTTACCATTTCTCGAGTTAATCGCTCACAGCAAACACTGTTCTAAGTACATTAAAGTGAATACTGTATGAACTTTGACCTGGTTGCCCCTTCCTACAGCAAGCTCATCTGACTCCATCTGCAGCCGCTTCAGCAGAGAACTGTTACTACCTGTACATCAATACGGAGAAAGAGGACCACCCACTTCCCAACCAGGCTTATCTCCTAGTCTGCCAGAGCCTCTGTCAAGCACTCTGCTATCAGGTAACATTACAGGTGGGTGTGTGTACGTGTGTGTGAGTTGTGCAACTGAGCAGTGATGAGTGTGAATATGAGATCTTCCCCTTTTTCACAGGTGAAAGCAGGATCTTCTTTCAGGTGCTCAGTGTGCGTGCTGGTTTGAATATGTGTGTGCATGTATAGTATGTGTATGCAAGGAGGCTGCTGAGGGGTGGAGGAGGATGCTGCTTCAACAGGTGTGTATCTAACATCACAGTGAAAAGCTAAGGGATTAGGGGATTACCCATGTGCAATATAACCTGACACACATGCGCGCGCACGCACGCACGCAAGCGCATGCATGCACACGCACACACACACACACACACACACACACACACACACACAAACACTCTGACAGGCTCTGGTAGACATGTTTACATAATTTGGCATTTTTTCAAGTCCATAGATAAATTTAGTAAATTTACAATGACATAAAGCTAAAATACTTCACATTTCAGAAGCTGCAATCAGCAAATATTTCTCAAGCATTCTGGTTTAATAAAATTACTTAAAGCTGACTATAACATCTTTAAAATTGATGGATGACAATATTTTGTTAGGAGAAAGATTAGACATTCCTAGTGAAAACTGGTGCAGGCGATGTGTCCCCATGCGTCCCTCTAGCCCGACACCAACACTTGCACACATACTCCCTTTAAATCCCTCCTTTCCTCTCCCTCTCTTCCCCTTTCCCACACTGCCCAATGCGCCGCCCTCCCTGTGTGAGTGCTCTGTTGGCATGACTGGGATGGTGGAGTGCCGACAGCGCTGAGCACCAGAAACCTATGGGCACTGCCACAGTGGGAAAATAAACATATCTGACTGACAGCTTGAAACAAATGCTTTCCCACAAACACAGACACAGTGCCGCTGCGCTACCAGGTATGCTGTATAAGCTCAGAATTTGGCAGGAGAGGTGAGCTTTACATACACGAGAAGACCTTTCTGTTCATAAGCAGAAGCACTTACTCATGGATTCACAACGCTTTCTAAAAAGTGTTGAGCTCAGCAGTAGCAGAGCTCTAAAGACAGGTGCTTCCTATCCTTTTGAGACACGGCAGTTGACTTTTCTTGCCGCATTGATTCTATTCATCTCATTATCATGAGACCGACTCATCTGAGAAGCTGTCAAGTCTTCAATAAAGCCACTTATTAACCAGCTACAAAACATGGAGTCGGTCAATAATCGAGGCAACATTCTGGAAATATTTATTTAGTTTTACATACAGTGTACTCTGGCTGTGTTGACACAGTTATGGCTTTGTACCGGTGCCACTGTGGTTGTTCTGCCACTCTGTGTGTGTATGTTTTGGGTGGTTAACACCAGCTGTACTGACTCGCTCTGTCTCTCAGCAGGTTCACACTGGGGCTAATGCAGCGCTAGCTCTGTCTGACCTCAGAGGTTATTGTTGTTGACGTGCCAGTCTGAGTGTGTGTTTGTGTGTGTGTGTCTCTAACAAGACACCCCTGCGGGGTCTGGCTGCACTGATCCAGCTGCAGCAGTCTGCTTCTCTTCGGCACACAACCGAACACACACAATCTAGTTTTAGTCACTTAGGGGGACATTGCATTGACTTGCATTTATTTCTTGGAGCCTTACCTTACCCTAATCGTAACCATAGCCACCACATGTCTAACCCCACCCCCAACCATTAGCATAACCATAATCCAATCCTTTTCACTTTAAACCAAAAATAAATAAACAAACAAAAATCTTTAGGACCGAAGCTTAGAAGAAGAGTACACATAATGTGGCTGTGTGAATATGCACACGCACACGCAAACACAGACACACGCACACACACAGACACAAACACAGATTGTGCTCCTCTCTTGTTCCTCTCTATAATGTGCCATAATAGAGCACAGCTCCTCTGGCTGGGCCTCCCTGGGCCTTCCTGCTATTACATCTGAATGGGGCAGCATATGGCCTTTATGGCCTTACTGTTCTCTCTACAGGTCCCTGCAGAGAGGGGGAGAGAGAGAGAGCTTCAACTGTCACAGAGGTGTAGGCAGGGCGAGTTTGAAAAGTAGCTTGGTTGGAGTGTGTGCGAGTGAGTGTGTTTGCGTGGTGTTGTTTGTGTGTATGTGTAGTAGAGGGGGAGTAGGAGGGGGACACGGGGAGCGTTAAATGAAGCAATTAATAAAATCATTTTCTACCCGGCTAAGGAGATAACAGCTTGGCACAGTACCACAAACCCATCAACACAGCCCCTTCGCCTCCCCACCACTCATTTCAGCTTAAGGAAGACCCACACCGCTGCCCCTGATGGACCAATAACAGAGAGGGGGAGAGAGGGAGAGAGAAAAAGGGATGGAAGAGTACCAGTCATTTGAGTTTTCTTTTCTTGTTTACAGCTGCTAACACTAGAGGGCAGTGTGTAACTGCCGTCAAACTACTGGACACACACACACACACACACACACACACAAACAGAGCAGGAACACAAAGCAGCCTGCATCACTGAACACAACAAACAAAGCCAAGATGAGCAGCACCACACACACACACACATACAGACACACACACACACACACACACACACACACACACACACACACTGAGTGCACACTCATTGTCATTCCTTGCTAACATTCCAGTGAGAGCGGCAGTGGCAGCAGTAGGTCTCCTGCTAGCTCATGCTATATAGCATGGCAACACGTCAGCTCAGAGACGGGAGCACACTATCAAGGGGTGTTTTCTCCCAGAGGACGGCGGTGAAACGCTAACAGCCATTTAAACATGTTAGGATGGCACCAAATGATTTATATACATCTGTGACCCCCCTCCTTAGCTGAGAGGAACATTCAGAGTGTACAGGCTGAAGTTTCACCAACACACAGGGAAACGTGTGCTGGTGTGTGTGCGTGTCTGTTTAGAGGGAGTTCTCACATCTGTCTCTAAACAGATAAAACATAGTGTATCGGAAACGTGCTGCTGATAGGGAAGAAGCATGCACAGTTGGAGACAAAGGCTACATTGAAATCACTGTTTAACTGTAGTGACTCTTATCAACGTGTTTGAACTACGTCTAACAGAAGCTACAGGCAGACAATGGACAGAGAAAACGTTTGCTGAGGACTGCCTCTCATTTCTAAGTGTCTGTCATTCCAACGAGAGCTGTTAGGTATCATTGTTGTCGCTGTCCTCTCAAGGATAAGCATTGACGATAAGAGTCAAAGACGGTTCCTCTCCCCAATGGGTTTAGTGCAGGCAGAAGTGGAAACTTTTACCTGCACATTCTCACCTGGGTCCTTTAGCATCTTTCTTTTTGAATCTTCTATTCACAACGCTATTTCAGATATGGTAGAAAAAGATATTAAAATGTTTCGCAGAGCTTATTCATAAACAATCTGTTGGTTGCTTTTGTCCGGTGGTCAAAGAAGTTGAAGACGTTTCACACTTCTGTCCTTCAGTCATCCTGCATCTAAACCGACATCCTCCACTGAAGGACCAACACTGACCCCGACCTAACACTGAGATTTGACATTTCAACTTTACCAGATAACAATCCCTGAGCCACCATTCTCCAACCACGTCTGCATGATTGTCTGCCATTCATGTTTTAAAGCCACCTTGTTAACCTGCACCATATTTATCTGGGTCTTTGTAATACAAATGACCAGAATGAACCCTGAGATCAGTCTTTACCTTTGATAAATAAACTGCTGAGAGCAGATGTCTCCCTAATTCACCATGTGCCTGCCATGTGTCAGCTTTGAACAGGTTCTTAAATTTGTCTTTGATACCTGGGTTGCTTGTTCTTAAATGTGTAATCAAATCTAATCCTCTTGTTGTGCTTTTCGGTGTTGTCCCTGAAGAGCTGCAATTACCTGCAGTACAACACACTGCCCTTAACTTCGGATCCCTTTTTTGGCAACAGGAGCCATTTCAGTTCAGTAGAAAGAGGCTGCCCCACCCCAAACTGGTATACAGACTTAATGGAGTGCATGAACTTTTTAGAGAACCTGACATACCACGTGTAGATCAGAGAGTAACGTCAACAAAGACGGATTTTTGGGGCACTATTTGATAAATGGACCATATAAACCTCTAAAGAGCACATTTCTTATCTAATTAGCTGCTCCCAGGACAGAAGCCTAACACTCTTCTTAATTATGTATTATAAAAACTGTGCAGTAAATCTTAACATTTTCCTGATACACTTCATGTCTGCCTATGGAGCAGCGGCAGGGAGGTGAGTCCATCAACTGTCCACTCTTGTCGTCAGCTGTCATTTTTGTTATCACACATCTCCAATAAGTAACATTTTTGAAAGACTTTCCTGACGCCTCAGTGTCCTCTCCTCTCCTCCACTCTGCTGCTTTCTTTTCCTTCTCCTCAATGCCTTTCCTTGCCCCCCACCCCCCCTTGCTTGTCCTCCCCAGAGGGCCATGATGCAGCAACACCGGACTTTCAGTGAGAGGAGAGGAGGATTATATAGCAAATGTATAGTTCCCCATACCAACACAGACACATCTCTCTGTTATTTTTGCCACTTATAGCATGTCTCTCATGCCCAGTTCGTCCTACAGCTACAGTTTAGGGGGGGCATGGGAGCGGACGCCCTCCTTCTCCTCCTCCCTCCAACTCCATTTTCCTCCACTGTCCCTCCTTTGCCCCTCATCCTTCTCTCACAGTACCACAGCCAATAACAGTGTTGGGGTCACCTATGTTAATTACCTCGCTAGTGCAACTGGGGAAAATATCTGCAATACACACACACACACACACGTGGACAGTTCACACACAACGGAATCGGTGAGTAAGCATGTGTCACTGAAGCAGCGTGTGTGAGAGTGAGAAAATAATGGTTTCAAAGACAAGGGAAATGGAGAGAGTGAGGAAATGTCATGGAGAAGGATGCCAGACGTACGAAGGAGAGAGGAGAGGGAGAAGGTGGCAAGAGGAAGCCGACCCGGAGTTGAAATGGGAAATTACTAAAGCACGGAGAAAATTCTGTTTTAATAGATACAATACATTCACAATTTCACTTCAAAAACATAATATAATGTTTAATATTTGAGTTTTGACTCTTCTGCACTAAAAACACTACAAACGTGGAATTTCCCACTGTCAGTTGACTGACCTTACTTCCAGTGTAACTTAGAGCAGTGAGGTGAGTGTGTAAATTCTCAACAATTTGAGGGAGGGAAAGATAAAAACAATTTGCTTCCCCTTCACCTGAATGAAGAAATGAACTGCAGAAAACTAAGTATGAAACTAAGCAGAAAACTAATGGTTGCAACCATTAGCTCACCGGGGAGTGGATGTCAGCTACATAAGCAGTGTGGTTTTAGCCGTAGTTGAAAGATGTCATATGGAAACGCTACAACACATTTAAACAGACTGTTGTTCTGCTTGTTAAAGGGAAATGATTTATTTAGGGGGGTGCAGGGAATATTTTCTTCATGTTTCTGAGGGTTATGCAGGCTCTATGTCCACACTTTTATATGGCTCTCTTTACCTTTGCCTGTCTTGCTGCTCAGATTATCTGAGCTAAGCAAAAAGAAGAGAAGAGAAGAGAGTGAATATTGCTCTACCCTCTGCCCATCCTGTCTGTCTATCTGTCTGCCATGCACACAGGCTCTATTTATGGAAAGCAATGTCACTCATGCAACACCATCAGATAGCTTTCTCCCTGGCCTGCTCACTGCTCATACATCATTAACATTCTCCACGATCCCAGTGCGCGCGCACACACACACACACACACACACACACACACACACACACACACACACACACACACACACACACACAGGCTGCACAGCACACGTCATGATGCCAATCAACCAGTACAAGACAATGCAGCCACATGGCTATACAGTTCCACACTGTATGTATACAAATCAGGCATATAACATTTTTTTTAAAGCGTCATCATTAATAATACGTAGATTATTATCAGATACTGTACATTTTGTTATTTTTATAACAAATACTCCGATGTGTACAGTTATTAGAGCTGCAACTAATGAGCAATTAATCTGCAGTCCGTTATTTTTTCAATCTACAATTTAGAGAAAATAGTGAAAAATGTGCATTAGTTTCTCACAGCCCAAAGTGACGTCTTCAAATCACTTTTGTCTTACCAATGGTCAAAACCCCCATGATATTCACTTACCAAAGAAAAGTAGAATATCCTCAAATTTGACACATTTTTGGCACTTTTACTTAGTGAACAAACTGAAAAGGATTCATTATTCATTTTCGGTTGATGAACTGAGTAAGTGACTAAAAACTTCTGCACTAACTGTCAGGCTACATTTTTAATTCAAGAGTCAGGGCTGCTGCGATGGACTGGCGACCTGTCCAGGGTGTACCCCGCCTTTCGCCCAATGTAAGCTAGGATTGGCTCCAGCCCCCCACGACCCTGTACGCAGGATAAGCGGTTGACGTTGGATAGATGGAGTCAGGGCTGCGATGTCTGTCATCACACCTCAAGAAATAGCTTTGGACATTTTGGGAAATGCGCTTATTCGCTTTGACTTTTTTGAGTTAGATGAGAAGATTGATAACCAATCTCGTGTCTGTATGGTAAATATAAGGCCCGAAGCCAGTTATCTTAGCATTAATCCTGGAAACGGGAAAAGAGTTAACCTGGCTCTGTACAAACACACTGTAAGCACCTCCAACATCACTAACATTTTATAACTCAATTGGTTAGCATTGCTAAAAGAAACACACAAAACTGGGTGTTTTTAAAACTTCTGTTTTTGTATGGACAAAACAAACAAGATATAATGTTTTAATTAGCTAGCTTTAGTGGTGCTGGAAAAAGCACGGCATGGTCTCCCAATTATTAAAGTCTTTGTGCCAGACAAAGCTATTCGGCAACTGGTGATCACCCCTCTAACTCTCAGCAAGAAAGCAAATAAGTGTATTTTCTAAAATGTTGAACTATTTCTTTTACAGGCTGTCACAGGTATAGAGTCTTGCTCAAGGAAACATACATGCTGTGTGTCAGATTGATGTGACAAAGTCCAATATTTGCAGGTGAAAATTGTTGGTGGCTTCAACAACTGTCTTGATAGTAAAACTATTTTACTTAAAGTAGTTCAGCCATTTTCCTTTATTTTTTTCACCTCTGCTAATCCTGTGAATGTCTTTGGGCGTGTGGATACTTTAAAACCTCAATTTTTTTTTGTGTTACTAGTTTAATGTGTGTCAAAGTGTTAAATAAAGCTTTGCGTGTGTGCATGTTTGTGTATGAGAAAGGAGAGAGTGACAGAAACAGAGAGAGAGAGAGAGAGAGAGAGAGAGCATGTGACCTCGTCAGCCTCAGAGACAGCCTTCAGAGAACAGTGATGACAGGAGGAATTAGTGAAGCAACACAAACCAGAGAAAATAGCCTCCTCTCCTCTCCTCAACCACAAAAAAATCTCCTAGCACTTTCACTTGCTCACTGGAGCAACATTTCATATTTGGGCAGATACAAGGATTCACAAAAACTCTTTAGAAGTCAGTTAGTAGTATCTACAGCTTCACACAGAGCACCAGGAGTTAACAACCCGAGCATGGACATATGGGACGGAGGCAGAGAGACAGAGAAGGGAACACATCTGGACAGGGATTAGGACTGCTAAAGAGGCTAAAAAAGGAGGTGGAGACAGAAGGATAGGCTTAGCGATGGCTATGGGAGGGGCAGGGGAGCTGTCGAGGGTGTTTGATGGGTGAAGGTGGGGGTGGGCGAGGGATGAAGTCAGCGAGAAAGTTATTTTTTTCTTACTTGAAAGAAGCCCGGGGGCATGGGTCCTCCTGGCATACCATCGTTGGGTGGCATGTTGCCCATCACTGGACTGGGAGCAGCGGCCGCACTCTGAAAAAACACATGAAAGCACAGTAAACTCTCAGTATTCATCTTTGATGGAGCAACAGAAAGTTGTTGAAACGGGTTAAAATAATCGTGTTCACTGCAAATAATGGAAAGAGAGATACGGTGTGTAGAAAATGATTTGCCACAAAATGTCCAACCCTGATTACACTCACTGAGTTTCAGGACACAAATTGAGCCATTACCAAAAACTGATGAAGATATGATTCTTTGTTCACAGTGATAAATTATCTGATGGAAGACACAAATCTATCGTGTCAAGGTGCAGATAGTTTAGGAGGATCATTATGGCTTTGGCGTGCTTCCTGTGAACTATGATGCACCGTCTGACTGCAACAAATCAAGACAACCAAATCAGTCCTACCTTTTCAGGACTAGCTGAAGAGTCATACAAATGCACAGATATGATCCCATTTGCTCTGTTGTGTTCCAAACTGATCTGTTGACTAACAACAACTATGTGAAAATATACAAATTATACATTTACACAATGTACAATAAAAAACTATGAATAACCAAATTCCTCAATGTCAACATTCAACACTTCCTGCAACTGCTTCAAATTAAAAGCCTTTCAGTGGTGCCTCCATGTAGGGCTAGAGATCAAACCTTTTCAATGCAAGTCCCAGAGTTGATACCCAAAACAATGCCTGTTTCAGAACCTTAATTTGAGAAAAATAGTCATGTTTTTCTATAAAACTCTTTTTTTCATTTATTGAATTATGCCAAATATCTTATTTCTTCATTTTTCTTTAGATACAAGAATAAGCAGTTTTTATAATGTTTTAGACACATTTCATTGGGTAAAAATATTGATTCATTTCACAGCCCACCCATATGGTTTTGGTGGATTTTGTTAAATTTCTAGCAGTGTTTTGGTCCCACTTCATAATGTTAAATAACAACAACAACAAAAAAACATAATCTTGAGAGCAGTCTTTATTCCTGTGTGTAACCCCAGTTTGAATATGGCCTCCAAATATATTTTTGGCAATAATACATCTTTGCTCTCAATCACAATGATTTTCAACATCGCAGAGAGGACAGATGTGACACTCGCTGCTCTGGTTTTCTTCTGAGGCACTGAGGCTGACAGTTGATGGTTGGTTATGAATGCTTTGTCTGAGCTTGACATTCACACATGGCCAGCGCGATGAGAGGAGGAAACAAAAAAGTTACCCAAAGAACAAATTTTCAGCCAGAATGTGGAGCCAATTTGTGCGTTACAGGACAGTCCTGCGCTGCGGAAGAGGGAAGCTACAAACTGCAGTTCTTCCATGCCGACACACTGTCCTCTTACAAAAAACAGTACTGGTTGTATGTTCAAACACTTAAAGCAACCTATCTTTATATTTTCCTGACAAGCGACATTTTATGGTTGTGCAAAAAATGACTGTCCAAGTAGCAAATGTGGACGTTTCGTAAGGTGTTACGCTTCTTAAAATGTCAGTGTAGATGGATAGGCATAACAAAATGTTAGTCTTTGACACCAGAGACTGTTTGCATCCTGTCTCTTACAATAGACAGCATTGGTTTATTTTAACCATAACTACAGTCTTTTCCTAACCAAGTAGTTTTAGTTGCCTAAACGTAACCGTAACTTTGACCATGGAGGTGGCAGAAAATTGCTCATATAATAAATGACTTTGTTGATTATGTTGGATGACTTGTTGCATAATTGTAGAGTAACCACAGGTGCTTTAATAGAGTTAACAGTAATTTTTTTATTTCACAAAACCTGTTAGCTACCGAACATACAATGTACAAACCACAAAATGTACAAACACACACACACACACACACAGCGCTCTCCTCCGGCCCTTCCCCCCACTGTAACAGGAGCTTCACTCACTTCCAGAGCAAACAATCCCTCCATCCCTCGGCTGACCCACACGGCCCAGACACTAACTAACAGGCCCCGGGGCCATGAGGCAGGACAAACACACATGGACACACTGCACTGGTAAGAGGGTGTGAATCTGTGGGACTCTGAACAAATCATAAGAGACTTACAGAGTGCGGACACGGACATATCCACAGGAGTGAGAAACAAGCAGAGAGTGGAGGGAGAGAGAAGATGAGACAGAGAGAGAGAATAAAAAAGTTAGGGAGAGACATTTAAACAGACGGAGCTGCCAAACAAGAAAGATGGAGAAAGAGAGAAGAAGAGACAGAGGGATCTCTCCAATGGTGTCGAGAGGTCGGACAGTGAAGGACAGTCTGCTAAAGATGCTTCTATAGTACTCTGAGGCCTGTGTGTGTGTGTGAGAACTGTATCAGTCCCTCCCAGCATCAAGCATGAAGACAGAGAAGTCACGGGTATCAACCAAACCAGAATGTAAAGGAGCATGCAGCTAACTTGCTAGCAATGCCCACAGCATCACAAAGTTATTAATGATTCATTTTATTTATCCAACAACACAGTCTGCTGACAGCAGAGGCAGCCTAATACACAAGTCAACAAAGGATTTGGGTTGACCTGAAGTTTTATGGTTCATCATAGATGGACATTAATATAACTGATATGAAGCGCGTGCTTTTTAAAACATCTGGAGGGTCCTTGTAACCTGGTGGTCTTGGACATGTACAAAGTGGCCGAAACATGTAATCTCATTCCATTTAAAAAAACATTTACATGTCAGGTATGGGTGGGGTTTTCCACTTCATACTGTGTCCTGATTTAGTGCCGAAGACCTCTATAGTATATGTAACAGGATTAATAATACCATATAATTCTAGTTTGATGGATGTAACAACTTTGCAGGATCTTCTACAAAAACACAGAGGGATCTAAGACACTTCTGACCTCAGCTGGGCCATATGAGTGTTTAATTGTGTGCTGTTATCGAACAATGGGGCAGCAAAAACAATAGGGAAAATGCTGTATATTACACACGCAAATGTGAACAGGCACACACACAGTTGACCAGCTGTGGCGCATCGGAGAGCATTATCTATTATCTAAGGGATCAGCAGAGAGAAAGAGAGAGAGAGAGAGAGAGAGACGAAACGAGAAAAGGAGGATGGAAATGAAAATGAGAAGAGGAAGAGAGAGAAGGCCAGAGGTAGCTGGATGAACGGCAGGGCATCTCAGGGAGAGGAGGAAGAGTGAATGGAAGTGATGCTGGCATGCAAGTATGTGTGGCGAGTGTGTGTGTGTGTGTGTGTGTGTGTGTGTGTGTGTGTGGGGCTCCATGGTACTCAGGTGAAGCAGCAGCAAAAGGCCCCTTCTCCTAGTTGCCATGACAACCCCGACCTCAGCTCCTGCTCTCCAGTGCCCATTAAAACCCTCAGGCCGTCAATCATCAACATGGCCAGGGAGCAGAGAGAGAGAGAGGGGTGTGTGTGTGTGTGTGTGGGGGGGGGGGGGGGGGAGAACGAGAGAGGTAGGAAGAGAAGAGGAAAAAATCAGAGAAAAGAAAGAGAAAGAAGAAGAAACAGAGATGGAGTTTAAAGCAGCCTGTGTCTTTTCATAGCTGCCCTGTTTGCCGCTATCTCCCTCTTTTCTCTCTCTCTGCACACAAACAAACCCGATGCACAATACCTGAACAGTGTTAACTCCTCACACACATCACACTCCTCTGTCTCACCCTCTCCCCACCTCCATAAAACCATACAATAAAGGCAGAGCTGCATTTCATGTCATTATCTTTATTCCTTCAATTTCACACAAGCTATCTTCATTCAGCACGCAATTTTAACTAATGATCCTGCTTGTTCGCTATACAACATTTTCAGTCTTAATTCTGCATCCGTCCATACCTCCTCCTCTTCCTTCATATTGGAAAAAGAGCTTCTAGATCAGTGATGTATTCAGTGTTTTTGAAATCTAAAGCTCTCTGTGTCCATTTGTTCTATCTGTTCTCTGAGCTGTGGCTCTGATGAGCTATATGAGTTTATATCTAAAAGAATAATTTGTTTGTTGAGGGAAACATACATTTTTTCCTACTTGCCCAGGCTCACTGATGCCCTTTTTATGTTTCTGCTTGCAATTTGAAGGTATATTGAAAGGTGTAAGCTGAGCTTCGTGAATGCCTCTTAGTTCAGGGAGAAAGTCTGTATAAAGGAACATTTCGACATTTTGGGAAGATCGCTTTTTGCTTAGACTTAGATGAAAAAAGGTTGACGCTTTCATCTTTGTATGGTAAATATGAAGCCAGAGCCAGCAGCTGGTTAGCTTAGCTTAGCTTAACTTAGATAAAGAGTGAAAACAGGGGAAACAGCAAGCATGGCTCTGTCCGAAGTAACAACATCCACCTACCAGCACATCTAAAGATCACTAATTAGACTGTTATATTTCGTTTGTTTGATTTCAAATGACAATGGAAGTGGAAAAACTCTGTCGTGTTTTTTACATTTAAGTAAGCCAACCAATTGAGATTCTGTTTAACATGTTAATGTGAGTTTTAGAGGTGTCGATTAGCTGATTTTGTTACCTTCAGACAGAGCCAAGGCTAGCTATTGCCCTTCGTTTCCAGTCTTTATGCTGAGCTAAGCTAACTTCTGCTTTATTATTTTTATCAAGGGAGTCTGCTGTCTTTGACGAGAGCGAAATGTTTCTGGTTAAAAAAAAAGAGTTGGGCTTAAAATATTGTAGTTTTTCATGTAATAAATATAAAAAGGAAATAACAAGTGAAAGTCTCATCACATGTAGTCACATGTAATCTACAATTTTTGGACTCTTCTATTTGAGCCTGTTACTAACTAATCTCACAGGTCAACATACATTCAAACTGTAGGCACAGACATTTAAGCTATCCTCCTGTAGTTATCATCAGGCATGTATTTGATAATTTTCTCTTACAGAAGGGGTCTGCTCTCCTTTTGCCCCTGGTTGTGATCCTCTTTAGCTTCACAGCGGAGACTGGCTGGTTAGGTGGCTGGCTGGCCCACAGACAGTGAGTGAGCGGCTCTATCTGTCCGGTGATCAGACCTCAGCTTCCAGGGGGTAATGGATCTGCTGTTATCTGGGTCCAGACAAGCAG